ATTATTCTTGAGGGACGTTCGTGGCGCCTCGTGACGGTCCGATCGGCCGGTGCTGTCCGGTCGGGTCGGGTCGCGTCGGGTCCGGCCCGGGCGGGTCCGGTCTGATCCGGTCCGGTTCGGTTCGGTTCGGTTCGGTTCGGTTCGGTTTGGTTCGGTCCGGTCCGGTCCGGTCCGGTCCGGTCCTGTCCTGTCCTGTCCGGTCGGGTCGGGTAGCGTCGGGTCCGGTCCGACCGGGTCCGGTCTGATCCGGTCCGGTCCGGTCCGGTCCGGTCCGGTCCGGTCCGGTCCAGTCCGGTCCGGTCCCAAGTGTGCAAGCGGCGGCTGAACTACTCCATCCTCTATGAAAGACGCTGCGTACGCCATGATCTTGTTCGTAAAGTGCATTGCATACTCACTGACACATCGTACCGAGCCGAACAAGCTGACACACGTGGAGAAATGCATCGCCGTTGACAACCGGTTCCAGCTCGGCCTTCGCTCCCTGTTCCGCGCCCAGCGGCGGCCCGCCAGTGCTGCGGTGGCCCGGCACGGGCGCACCCCGGGCTGATGCTTGTACCAGATGTGAACACCCGGCCTTGAACTCGGCTGTAGCCCGCAAAAATCTGTGCATTGCGTGGGAGCAAGCGCCAGCCGCGGCCGAGCCCGACTGCGACGGGCACTGTCCGGTACGACAAGCAGTGTACCACGGCTGAGCCCGACAGCAACGAGCAATGTCCGGTACGACGGGCAGTGTACCACGGCTGAGCCCGACTGCAACGAGCACTGCCTGGTGCATCAGGTCCCTGGACGGAATGGGCCGCCTGCGTTACACCAAGACATTCGGAGAGACTTAACGCGGCTTTGGTGCACACGGACCAAGACTAGGCTAAGCCTCCTGGCACGCCCGTCACCGGATGGTTGCGTGGGCCTCCAGCGTCGGAGCAGCCGAAGACCGACGAACAGACCGTGACTCAGCCAGACGGGAGCCGCCTCGGCTCTGAACAAGTCCGGGGGTAGGGGGGGGGGGGGGGCGACTTGACTTGGCCCGATCTCTCAATTGTGACCAATTGCGGGCCGGCGGTCCGTGCTGTCGTGGGCGAGTGAGGTCAGCTGGCAGCGAGCCAAGAACAGATGTTAGCTCGCCCTGAACCCAGACAATGGAGACAGCTGGCGACGGCGTCGGGCAATCCTCTCTTGCTGCACACTGTCATGGCCCGTCAGTATGAAGTTCGGATGCGGTGCTGTGCTCTGTCGCCGTGCCATATGTGGAATCGGTTTCGTCTCCGGCTGGCAGGTCCGACCAACGCTCATGCACGGTGTGTTGGGGTACAGAGCTTGCGCCGTGGAGGCAGTGGCGTATGCACATAGTAGGCCGCAACCCCCCCCCCCCTCCGTTTGCTCCAAGTATGACGTTTGTCACATTTACGACATTCTTGCATTTGATAGAATGTTAACAGTTGAAAATTGCATGTGCTCTAAATATAAGGTCGATAAAATGCGTTGTTTTTATGACGTAACAAATTGCGCGCTCGCAGCGCGCTAAGCTCGGTTTTCACTGCGTTTTTTTTTTAATTCACGCAAGCTGTCATTGTGAACGCCTGCGAGCACCCCTAGATGTAAGCTGTGTAGTATCTCGTCTCACATCTACTGCAGGATGACGTGCCGTGAACTTTCCGAAACAAAAATAATGTTATTTGTCTTGCTTCCAATGAAACACTGACACGAAACGCAACGAAAACTGCTGACCAAGCTCCACTGTAGAAAAGTAAAATGGCCAGCTACACGGACCCAAGCTGTGTGCATACATAGAAGCGTGCACCAAAAACGCCGAAACTAAACACTAAATATTAGGCAATTATAAATCCCGAGCGCGGTGTTAACGTTGAAACCTAGCTCTCGCATGCGATCAGAGGTATTTATCGGCCAGAGAGGACGTGGCGTAAGCGAAGCGAAGTCCACTGCACCACTGTAAAAGCAACGTCCACCGTACAACCATGTAAGCAAAGCTCAGTCACTACACCAGAACAAGCGTAGCATGTCTAGCGCATTTGCTTCTGCCTTTCTCTTCACGCCATCTCAGGAACAGTTGCATCAGTACCACCACAACCAAGGGCGTGTCGTTTAACGCTGTTACACTGCCGCCGGTATGAAGAGGCTTCACTGTCACTGCTGACTCCAACGCCCCTCATGCTGACGGCCGGGCAGGCGCTGCCGCTCACCGCACTGGCAGCGCTGGTCTGGTGCCGCCCGACCGCCGCCGGTCCCTACTGACCAGCAGAGCATCAGCGGAGCTCAGCTGACCAGCAGGACTACTTCAGCCAACGGAACCGGCCGCTGGCCAGCAGGGCGCGGCGCGGCGTGTCAGCGGAGTGGTGCGGCTGAAGAGCCCGGCCCAGCAGACCAGCAGACCAACGGACCAGCGGACCGGTGGACCAGCAGACCAGCAGACCAGTGGACCAGCAGACCAACGGACCAGCGGACAAGTGGACTAGCGGGCCAGCGCACCAGTGTGACCGCGCAGTCCTGGCCGCCACACAGTTCACTGACCCAGCAGCAGGACCAGCGCGGCGACCAGTAGCAGCGCCGGCGGCCAGACGGCAGCCGCCGCGTTACACAGATCCGTGGAGCAGTAGCACGCCTTGTCCTTGCAACTGTCGCGCGCCAACGGGAAGCAGGAGCGCAAGGCGTTCTGGGGGTCCGCCGGGTCGGTGACGAAGAGACAGCCACGGTCTCCCGGCTGGCACGTCCGCATGAACCGCTCGTCGTTCTTGTTGAACTGCTCGCACGAGGGGAACGTCTCCAGCACGTGGGTGATATCAGCCGCCAGGGAGATGCCCGCGATTGGCGCCTTGCTCATACACGTGTAGCACTTCAGCGCCTGGGCGGCGCCCAGCAGCGGCAGCAACAGCAGCACGGAGGGCAACATGGCGCACGGGGAGCGGCCGAGGCGTGACTGACGCGGCGGCGGCGGCGGCGGCGCGCGCGGCTGCAGCGTGACCTTGGGCCGGCAAAACCAGAATTCTGACGACTTCAGGTTTACGACCTCATTACGTATACGCCACATTACTACCAGTGCAACGAGTAAGTTACGACGAGTTAGGTGACATTAGTTCGACGCAAAAAGCTTAAAATGTAATGAAAAACTTATCTTTAAAAAAGCCTTTGCCCGTCATTGTGTCTGCTGTAGAAGCCCGTGAGGTATAAAACGCGGCGTGCCCTGAATGTGACAAGCCTTCATACCACAGATGAGGTGCGGGTAGGGTCCCCGACTGAATACGAAAGTGCACTCCCGGCTTGTTGTTCACTCATATGCTACATTGTTTTTTTTGACGTTGACTTACGTGAGCTCTAGTTCTTCACGACAAAATTAATGCTTCAAAAAGAAGTATCCGTCATTGTGACTGCCGCTGATCTTCCATTGCTCACATGTTTATCTTGCCACTACGTCTTTGCATGCTTATTGCAAGTGATTGCACTTTCATGACCATCTGGACTTGGAAAAATTACCGCTATACGGTCTGCGGTGGAGCCAAAATTTCCACAAACAGGCCAACAAACAAGTTTAAGACGTTAATCTTGTGTTTAGAAGTCTTCAATTTAGTGTTCTTCGAATAATGCAGTTGGTTGCGGTGGAGCCAGGTATGTTTACGTCTTAGTATAGGAGTTATGGGATACAAATCGAGGCTTGACTCAGTTCTCGTTGATACCGCCAGCCGCGTGTGAGTGTGAGTGGTGTCACTGATGGTGCTGTCTTTGTTCTTACGGGGGGTGCATGGTATACCGGGAGATGATTCTAAGGGCGCATCATTTATCCAGTCCGGTAATGTGACAAGACCAACCAAAAAAAGTTTTCTGATCCTGTTCGCCCCGAAACGAGCCGCAGATTCTTCTCGTAAAACTTACTTTATCATCTACCACACATTCCAGCAGGAATGTCAATGCTTTGCAGTCCCCGCATTCTCCAGTTCTCGGCTAAAATACCCCGACATCGAAGAAATACCACCAGATGGTCTCCGCGTCCGTTGGTCCCTTAATTTTATAATATTACGGCATTTACACAAAAAGACCTTCCCTCCAAAAAGGCTTTCTTTGAATAAGATCAAATGATGCCAAAATAGAAAAGAAAGCAAATGGAAATAAACAACTCAGAGTAAGCCGTATGTTTTGGCACTGCCCACATCAGCGTGAGATGCGTGTCACAGGTGACAGGGACGGTGACCATCTTTTCAGCAGCCCTTTGGTGACCACTGAGTGTGTATATGTGACGGCACGCACAATAGAATCTCTCACCGCTCAAGTGTTTTTAAAACAGCTATTTACGTTGCTCTCCCTGCTCCAGTCATTTTAATGACGTTTCCCAAAGATATATTTCAAATTTGTAAGTAATCCCCGCTGGTTCTTTCAATATTTGGACGCATTTTCTTCGGAGCTGACAAGTCCGGAAAAATGCAGCCTTCAGTGTACCGCGCGGCGTTTAAAAGCTGTGTAACTACAAGGCTAGGATCCGAATAAGCAAGTCTTCGGTATGCGATAAATGTGAAAAGTCCGTGATAAGCCCGAGCGTTTTTGTAACCAATTAAATAACACGATAGCAAAATACCTATTTAGTATACCTGGTCATAGAGACCTGACGTGGAGACCTAACATGGTCGACAAGACTAGTACAAGCAAGGTACGATGCAACTAAATTTGAACATATGAACGGGTGATCTGTTTCGTTCTCTGGTGATCCGACAATGTCCGCGCTACAGAGTTTTACTCGGATCTGTAGGAATGAGCGGGCGTAATGACCGGGTGGTTAGGGCATCGGATTCCCTCGTGGGTGGCCAGGTTCGAATCCTGGTCGCGCCATGGCCCTGAGCGCTAATACGACGAAGGCAGTCGCTGGCGCCCCATGAAAGGACGTGACGGCGAGCGTCATATTCCCTTTAACAAAGGAATAATGAGTCATACGGTACTGTCCTCGGACGCCCTTGTTTCAGAGGGTTTACGGGCGTGCAGCCACATCCTCAGGAACGGGACTCAAGATGCTTTTCTTATTCGCAAGAGTATCGACAGAAATGTGCTACAGTGTTGCAGAGGAACATATTAAAGCCGTTTTACACTTTGGCATCGTATTGATTCAATGTAGCATGAAGGGGTGACAAACAAAGCAATTATATCATAGGTTCGGCATGCTGGAATTCATGTCCATATTCGTTTTTTCGATACACAATTTCATGCAGTTTCATTTACACATAACAAGATCTTTCACATAAACAGGAAGTCGACAAACGTAACACTAGAAGCCAATCAAAGCCACTTCCCTTCCTTCGGGCGGTCAATCGCGAGGCTGCCTCCTCCTCCCTGGCAGCGTCCCCATCCCACCCCCGGGTGGCCGGCGGCTCGTCCCCGAAGTCGGCGAGTGATCAGCCGTCGCGGCGATCCCGGCCAGCCCTACTTGCCGCCCCAGAAGGCGGAGGGAAGGTTGATGGGCCACTTAATGAACCGGTCCGAGGTCATGTAGCTTTTGATGGCGGGTAGAGCCTCGAAACGCTGGCGGAAGGTGCGCAGGTTCTCAGTGGCATCCAGCAGGTGCGAGTCCAGGTCGTGCCAGTTGGTGAACACGTCGTAGAAGAGGAAGTCCACGTAGGTGATGCGATCGCCGAGGAACCACTTGTTGGAGCCGAGGTAGTCGCTGAGCTGCTTGAAGCAGTTGGAGACGCGCTCTTTCATGGCCGGCAGCGTCTGGTTGAAAGACTCTTCGGTGCCGTAGCAAAGGAAGGCCAGCCACACGCGCAGGTCCCAAATCTGAAAAGCAACAAATTTTCAGTTTTACAATTGTTTTTTGTTCGTCAGCAAATACATCAACAACATTGCCGTATACGTTGGTTATTCTGAAAGCAGTCGTTTTTTTAATGCCTGTGGGTTCCTAAAATGCATGTGGTAAAATGCATGCATGTGACAGTGTAGGACAGCCTCCGCCCACTCCTCCACATCAACAAACACAACGACACAATGAAATCACTTTTAGCTCCGGTCGGGTCAGCCCAACCGAACCCATCACAATTGTCATGTTATTAGTCCTGGGAGAAGCTGCCTCTTTTGCAGAGGTCGTGCCGTCGACACCTCTTCCAATCCGCATTCCGGTAAACAGACTGGCGTAACTGATTATATCTATTCTCATTTATGCATACTACCCTGAAGAGCTAAGACATTGCCTGGCACTTCACAGCATATGTGTGACACTTTGAGCTGTTTTTTTTTTGTTAGGTCAGGCGGCGTGTGTGTCAATCGTATGATTTTATCATATTTTGATCATTTGGCTACACTGAGTAAGTTGCATACGTCGTGTTCGGACAAGTTCCATGCCTGCTGGAGCGTTAAAATGCAAATAGTGCACGAAACGTGAGATTCTGGAGCTGATACAAACCGACACACACGTATTTACTCGTACAAGAAGTATGTTCACACGGAAATAAGTTTTGCGGGTACCTACAACCCTTCCTTTCTCGGCCACTAAACATGTGCTCGGATTCGGCTTGGTCTGAACTGCCCGGACGACGCACATGCGGCAGCTGACCTAGGTCAGGGAGGAGGGCGTCACACGACATTAACATCACAAGCACACTAGCGTGTCGTTCAGTTGGATCGAGTTCTCGTCACGGCCTGCATCGCATGCACGGACGAACGACCTGCATCGCATGCACGGATGAATGGCCTGCATCGCACGCACGGATAAACGGTCTGCACCGCGTGCACGGATGAACGGCCTGCATCGCATGCACGGATGAACGACCTGTATCGCATGTACGGATGAACGACCTGCATCGCATGCGCGGATGAACGGCCTGCATCGCATGCACGCATGAACGGTCTGCATCGCACGCACGGATAAGCGGTCTGCATCGCGTGCACGGACGAATGGCCTGCACCGCATGCACGGATAAACGGTCTGCATCGCGTGCACGGATGAACGGTCTGCATCGCATGCCGACCTGCTTCGCACGCACGGATGAACGACCTGCATCGCGTGCACGGATGAACAGCCTGCATCGCGTGCACCGATGAACGACCTGTATCGCATGCACGGATGAACGGCCCGCATCGCATGCAAGGATGAACGGCCTGCATCGCACGCACGGATGAAGGGCCTGCATCGCGTGCACGGATGAACGACCTGTATCGCATGTACGTCTGAACGATCTGCATCGCATGCACGGATGAACCATTGCATCAACTTCCAGCCGAAGATGCAAAACAAGTTGCGAGTCAAGTGGGTTTGTGGCCTTGGAAAGACACTGGGCTCCTGGACCAGTGGCGACGGGCTGTGATCATCGAATGGGCGTATTGTCGGGCCCATTCGATCCGCTTCGCCCCGTCTCACATATTCCCGGCGGCACAGTTCGGCCAACATATCCGTAGACGACGACCTCTGACGCGTACTGCATTGCTCTTGGTTAGCCAGAGACGCCAGCGTCAAGTCCCAGCAGCAGATCAATCGGGGATGGATTTGGGTGTCGGGGTGAGCGGAGTATAGAAAAAGCTGCCAAAACTACAGCGTTATCATATTTGTCGTGCCCCAAATGCAACGCTGTCAGCGCTGGCAAAGTGGACGGGGTTTAGCAAACGATGGCGAAGGCAGCCCAAGCAGCGCCTCAGCAACCGCGTTTCTTCAGCGCAAGCGCACAGATCCGGCGATAAGCGAGATTCATGCCCGCAGTGTTTTGCTTTTCTATCGTATTACGCAATCAAGCGCGAGATGCTGGTTGCCAGGCAGATCAGATATGCTATCCGACCACCGATCCGGTCCAACAGTCGTCGCTATCGTTGTCAAAGTGCAGCCATGGCTGAGGGTATTTCAGAGCGGAATTGATGCCGTTCTGGTTACGTCACAGGCCATACGAATGAATCCCGAGTTCCATTCAGCCGAGCTGCCAATGAAATCAAGTGCCAATCCGATTAAGTCCGAAGCCTTGCAAGGCTTAACAAGCGTAGTAAGGCGGAATAACCTCGGAATCTGATTCGATTCCGCCTAAAGCCAAGCAAAGGTTTGACGGGAACGTAGGAACGTGCATGTGCGAAAATACGAAGCCCATTTTGAAGGGAATTCTTCCCACGCATCACGTTAAGGTTCGATCAACTTCCACGGCAGACGTTAGCTTTGGCTCTTTCACCCCACGCCCCGACTTTTCCTGCGCCTGCGTCATTCAGTCACACTAACCAGGACCACCGCCTGCACACACGCCTGCCCGCACTGCCGCACACACACGTACACACACGACAGACCCGCCGCCTTCGCCACACGTTCCAGCCATTCGTACAGCCAGCCAGAGGCACGCGAAGAGTAAGGCCCCGTCGCAATCCTGTCGCCGCCGCCCAAGTCACGAGCCCACACATCTGGCCGGACCAGACCAGGGTCACGCTTTCGCTCACCACTCCCTCGAGCATCTCCAGCTGCCGGGTTTCGTGGTCTGAGGTGCCGACCATGTCGTTCTTTCTCGCCAGGTGGCGTATGATCGCCGCACTCTGCGACATCTTCACATCGCCGTCCACGTAGTACGGCAGGTTCGGGAACGCAAGGCCGTGTGGGTTCTTGGTCTTCACCTCCTGCCACTTCTCAGGGTTGGTCTGCAAGCCAGGCGTAAAAAAGCATAAAGGAAAAGGTTATTCCGGCATTGCAGCCCACTAGAGTCATGATCATACGGGTGCCGTAGAAGCTCGGGCGCCAAGGCTATGTATCTGATCTTACACATTTACCTTTTCCTTCAACTACATTTGTTATCTAGTCCCCTTCCTGAGCAACTCGGCACAAAAGAGGGAAAGCTGAGACTGCTAACATAGGCCTACGTTACAACCTGAGGTGAGCCACATACTTGCCGCTAACGGGCTTTGTGCGTTCATACTTTGCATGCAAAACCGCAGACCTCGTATCATTTTTGAATTGTTGGGGATACAGCGCAAAGCCCACTTATCATACCTCACTGACACAGTAACAGCTAACTGTACAAAGCAAACAGTTTAACGATAAAGTTCAAAACTGTCACACCGCTCTTGAGAGCTGTGCGAAACCACGATCGATATCGCGCTAGCGCGGTGGATAGCCTCATTATCAGCACAGAAAAACAGCGACACAAGAGATCAAGTCTGGATGGCACCGGATGGCAACACGTGGAGCTTAAGGGAGCACAGTATTCTCCGTCTTACCGCGTCATAGCGGTCGTCCTGGTACTCCTCGCCGGTGTACTCCAGCATGAACCTGCAGACCTGGCCCAGACCCCGTATCGTCCAATATCCAAACACGGACGGCATGGCTGGAGCGTCAGACACGAGCACGGATCAGCAGAGCTCAGCTGGCACCAGTACCGGTGAGCAGGCGTCGCACGGCGTCAGCACAGGCCGACTCCCCACAGCTAGGAGCAGCTAACAGCGGCGCCTGCCCTCACGCCCCTCGTCCACGAGTGTGGACCTGGGCCGCGCGGCGGAGAGCGGGCGCCGCTCAAGGTCACCTTGGCTCTCGCCTAGCACGCCGACTGGCTGTTTCGACTCCGCGAGCGGGAGATACGGCTGTCGGCAGGAAACGATGCTGCTCACGTGGTTACTTTCCCCAGTATTTGAAGCTAAGAAATCTCGCTCACTGGCTGTGCGCCCCAACCAATGACGTCACGATCGCTTGGACGAGTCTATTTTGCAATATGGGGAAATTTTCGCCAGCTTTCGTCCAGCACTTTGACGTCTTTCTTCGCAGGCGGGGAGCCATTGACGGCGTATTCATTTGGCGTCGGGGATCATAGGACTCTCAGTGTACCCTGCGCGTAGCAAAAGAAAGAAGCTCGCTCATTCCACGATTTCTTCTCAAGTATCTATGAATGTCTTCGCGCTTTTTGCGATTTATCAACATTTCGGGGTAAATAGGTCATTCAGAGGCCCAATAGGTCATAGGTCATTCACCATATCTGGACGGTGAAACGACACAACCCGAACGGTATTTTTGTAAGCGTCCGCAATGATGTCCGGGGGAGGTATTCCAAGTCCCAGCGCGCCAAAGTTCGCCGTTTAAGCGTGTTTCATGTACATGCTGATGTGGTTCTATCAGACCGACCTCGAACGGTATGGTTGAATTCACGATACCCAAGCAAGAGTCCACGCTTTTGGCGGAAAGTTGGCAGCCATGCACGCATGCACACCAGTGAGCTAACCCTCTTAGCTTCCTGGTACCGGAGTGAATTATGATGCTCCTGACGGCTTAAGACAGATGGAGGCAGACACAGGGCAGGTGCACGGTACTTCTAGGACACAGCAGGTGCTGGCTTAAGGGCCTAGTATCAAAGGGGTGTTGATTCTGTTCATCTGTGGGCTGATTTATGCAGTATTCTATGGATGAGGTTTTCTGTTTGTGCGCGACCAGAGTCAAGCATCAGGCCTTAGCTCTCCCTCCCCCCTCCCCCCCCCTCCCATTGCTCGTCAGAATGAAGCGCAGCTTTTCGCTCACCACGGCGAACAAGTCACATAAGTCGGTCTGTTGCTCACCACTTAAGTAGGTCTATTACCCACCACATAAGTCGGTCTATTGCTCACCACATAAGATGGTCTATTGCTCACTTCTGGTGTGTTGGTATTTGCACAAAGCTGCCGCCAGTTGACTTTCCTACCATCGTCAGGTGTTATGGAGTCCTGATCACCTGTGGATGATGTTTGGCTTTAAGACATGTACGAGTCACAGCACGAATTTTTCCTCATCATTGCTGACATTCGAACCAGGGTCTTCTAAAACGGTCCAGTGCCTAGGCGTAGGAACGCTCAAAAAGTGTGTTGGGGGGGGGGGGGTGCAAGCTCAGGGTGTACTTCAGGAACTTTTTCTGGAAACCGTGTCCGATGGCCGGGGGAGGGGGGGAGGGAGGTAGGGATGGAGATTGTTATCGCTCTTTATTCAAATGTCATGGCTGCTATGCTAGCTATGCATCTAGAGCTGTTTATCACTGGTGCACAATCTTGCCTATTCGACTCATCTGTCATTTGGCAAATAACGCTATCCAGCTTCCCTAGATTATCCGTCCATTTTAACATTGTCTTTCGTGGCGAGACGAAATTCCACGAGCGGGTAGGTATCTTGGGTCATTAAGGAAGCATTTGTCTCCACAGTGTAGATGCCAAAATACGGCATGGATATAGGCTGGTGAGAATTTTGAAAGTGGATCGATGGCTCACAGTTCGCCAGGTTTTTCATGCGCCTTCATTTCGCTGGCTGCTTTTCAAGAAATAAGACTTGTCGCAGCATTTTAAGCGGAAACAACTTCGTGAGCTTGAAACTGCTAGAAACAATGTGACAAAACCCACAAATCTGGCGATTCTCTTTTGAGAATCAAGCCACATTGTTAGCGAGGGTCCGTACCATATTGTCCAAGGTACAGAATGTCCAAAGGTACATAATGTCCAAAGAACGAATTGTCCAAGGTACAGAATGTCCAGAGTTTATAATGTCCAAGGTACAGAATGTCCAAAATGAGAAATCACTTCCAAAATGGCTCGGTGTGGAGGTGTTCATATCGTCCAAGGTACAGATCGCCCAAGGTGCACAATGTCCAAAGTACACAATGTCCAATGTACAGAATGTCCTAAGCCTATAATGTCCAAAATACACAATGTCCAAAGTACGTATTGCCCAAGGTACGGAACGTCCAAAGCACACAATGTCCAAGGTACACAAGGTCCAAAGTACACAACGTCCAAAGTACAAAACATCCAAAGTGCGTAATGTCCAAGGTACAGAATGTCCAAGGTACAGAATGTCCAAGGTACACAATGTCCAAAGTACGGAATGCCCAATTTAGTTTCCAGGAAGACCGTCAGGATCCGAGCCCTTGCCCTTACTGACAGGCAACAGTATCCTGGGCTTCGTCGGTTGCGCATATATAGTCAACGCCATTACCGCCACTCGGCGTGTGATCAGCCGTCTGCCGCCGGCCGGTAACGTGCGCGGTAGGCAAGATGACGTAGGAAGGTATTTATCCAATGAGAGGTCGGCTGATGAGGGGCGGCACACCGTGAGCTGCTGCGAGCGGGCGGCGCTGCATCGCTACCGACACCTTCAGGACCGCTGATCGACACAACGCCGCAGCCCTGGCGTCAAGAGCAGAGCCGCCGTTAGTGAGCGCCTGGGTGGTACCCAAGCCCGTCGTATCCATCGCTGTCCATTGTGCATCATGTTCTCCTCCGCCCCTCCCTCCATAACAGCTGCTCGGCTTTTGCTGCCTGGTTATGATCAGCGCCATCTACCGAAGGGCATGAAAATACAAGTGCACAGAAAGCCCGGCATGCAGTCCGGCTGTTCATACCCAAGGTAACAGGTACCGTTCATTTCCTTTTCGACTCTGCGTCACGACCAATATGTGGGGAGGCCTGCAGCGTGCCGGCCCGCGCTTTCTGCATTCTCGTTGCGCCTATGTGAAGGCAGTCGTGGATCGGTGGCCGGAAAGGGCATAGCGCCGCTCCACGCACACGCTGTGTGGGATCCACCTTCATCCAATTGGGTCGTATCTACGTGCAGGGTCAAAACGTCAATACATGTGCAGTAAGGATATCTGGTTAAACGAAGAAAGACGCAAGGCCCCATAGTGACACGAGGCCGGATGTTCAGTTAGCAACGTATTTGTTTCCCCTGTTGGGACCTCTTGACTGAGCTGAACCCTGCATGTTCTTACTGCTGGCCATAACTCCATGTTGTCTGATCAGGCCAGGGAGGGGGCACGCACGTCCTTTCCCTGGCGTCTCTCGGTCATGACCTACCCCGATCCCTTCCGACCGGTGGCAGGACCTCGGCGCGGCGTCCACCATCCGGGAACCAGCCACCAGTCGGAAGGGACCGGAAAGGACAGGCCAGCAGAGCTGAACTAAGTAAGGCATAACTTTAAGGAGACACACGACAGGGGACTGGTTTACAAAAAGGCAAACCAAGTAAATTCAAATTTGTCCGGAGCACGCCGGCTGCTGAATCAAGCTGTGGAAGTGCTAATCTTTACACGGAGCTGATACAAAACTAAGTGATCAGTGCCGCGGCGGATGATGAATGCGCCGCTTCGGGGGATCGTTCGCCAAGCCTGGCCAGTTTTGAGTAGGCACGTCAGCGGTCAACAGCCCAGGCCCATCGCGGGGAATGAATCCGATTCATCCGTGGGTCAAGCCGCAGCGCAGCCAGCAGCTGCGGCCACACCTGTGGAGGCCAAACCGACATCCATCGCACGAGCCGCGATCATCAGCTGTGTGCAGTGCTGCAGACAGCCAACATTGTGTTACGGGCGGGAGCTGCTGATCTCATGGTGCGGATAAGAAATTCTGTCCGCGGATTTTGCAACTTCATTTATCCGCAATGGTGACGGGCGTCGATACGCATTCTTGAGTGATTCACTTGCCTCCCCAAGTCCAATGTGGCCTCTGCCCTGGCTTCTAGTGATAGAAAGAAACAGGATATTAAAAATTGCACGTCAAATTATGCCAAATTTCAATAAGGCTTGTGCTAATGGTTTCCAGCTAAAATGAACACACCAAATTATGACTGATATGTTATGTTCAGTTTTGTGCAGCTAGCCGGGGTTGTTACACTTTAAGAGCTCCGCTCCTGCTCTCGGCTGCGGCTGGCGGTCGTTCCTGGGTAGCCAGCACCCGCTCCAGCATGAAGGTCAGCCGCTCCTCCCGTTGCGCTGCCTGCTCGGACTGCTGCATCATCAGCGCCGCCGAGCGCTCGACCTGCTTGCCGTCACTGATCAGCTCGGGCCCACGGGATGGGCTTGGCTGGACTTCGGTTGGCTTGGCCCGCCTTAGCGTGGTCTGCCTTACCTTGGTTGGGCCGGGCCGGCGCCAGAAACATAACCGGGACTGTCACAGTAACCGTACGTCTGGACCGAGAGCGGACTGGAGCAGGGCCGCGGGAAGGCCCAGGCCACGTCAGCTCGGATCGGATCGGTTCGGATCAGATCGTATCGGATCAGGTAGGATTGGATCAAATTGGGTCGGATCGGATCGGATCGGATCGGATCGGATCGGATCGGGTTGGATCGGGTCGGGTCGGGTCGGGGTAGGGCGGGGCGAGGTAGGGCGGGGCGGGCCGGGCCGTGTTGGGTGGGGGCCGGGGCCGGTGCCAGAGCCAGGACTAGGATGGCGACCGCGACGACGGCCGGGACCTGGGCAGGGTCAGGTTCGCTCCAGAGTCGGGGCGGGGACGGCGGCTAGGGCCGGGCTGTGTTGGACATGTAAGATGTGATTTGATCTGTGGTCAGACCACTTCGTGTTCGATGCTCCAACCAGCCTTGGTCATATCCCCTGTCAACCCGCTTCTGCCTAGTTCTGCAGATCACACACCATATCACAACCTGACTTGATCTGATCTGTCCTGACCTGTCCAGCCTATCCTGCTCCAGCCCAGTGTAGTCCAGCCCCAAGTTCAGTCCATCCCCCATCCAGCCCAG